AGTCACATTTTAGCGAGTCACATTCAGATTGCACTGAATCCATTAGTTAAACTAATGTGCATGTCTTTGGACTGTGGGAGGGAGCCAGACTAACCGGACGGAGCCCACACAGTCTGAAGGAGAACATGCAAACCACTCCACCCTTATGCCATGCAAGCACACAGACATGCCATGTTTACCTGCTGGATTTGGTTAAATGTGTGGAGTGTGGAGAGAAAAATCATGCAAATCATCACCTCTCTGTGTCAAAAGTCAAGGTAAGTGTCCATTCAGGCCTATGTTGCAGGGAAAAAAAATGTGAATTACTCCCTTTTAACACATATCTCCATACACTGTGATCTTTCTTCCCCATTTCAGTGCTCTTTTCCTTTAGATTTAAAAACTGATGAATATACACAAATGATGTATTTTATATGTGTCCAGAGAACTTTGATCTTCAGTCGCAGTTTTACTCAGACTTGATGGCTGCACCTGAATGCTTTGGCTTACTTTCAAAGAAACTTTATCATAAGGTAAAGTAAGATATTTGGACTAGTCATATGAGCAAAAGCACAAATGTTACTAATAACAATAAAGACTGCTCTGTTCCCAAAGTGTCTAAGTAAGCCAAGGCTGTAATAATATAACAAAGTTAATTAATAATAAAGTAATCATCAACCACTAAAAGGAGGCATATTTGAAAAGGCTGCCTAAAGGGTTTTCTCTTCTCTTGGTCTCAAAGCTGGTCTGAAATGACAGGTATTAAGGTAGGTAAATTGTGCAGCATATATGCATGTGTGTATATAATTTATACAATGTATAAATTAGAAAGAGGTAGTGCAATATTTTAGCAGTCTACAATAAGCAACAGCCTGGAACCAAATGCCACCATGCAGACAATAAAGATAGATTTGACCGTAAAACCACCAAGGCACTCATATAAATGTTTAATTGTTGGCAGGAAATTTGACTTGTTCCATTGCTGCATTGGCTCAGCTGCTTGGTCTGGATGAAAAGGAAGGAAAGTGCCAAGGAGTCAATGCTCAGAATGGATCCGTTTGGGGTATTCAGGACATGATTGTCTGTGGCTAAAGCACACAAAAAGGAAGAAATCGTGGCTATCCATTAGCGATGGTTACAGAAAGAGTCTCTGTGTGCTTCTGTACGTGTGCATCTGCGTGTACATGTGTATGGGATGTGATGTGAACCCCTGCTGCTGGATAACCTCACTGTGTGAGATCTGACAGCTCCCACTGCTGTCTCTATGACAGGATAAAAGAGCGCCTGTGTGTGTGAGAGACTCAGATAGTGAAAAGGAGGAGGAAGTGGCCACAAAGAAAGCGAGAAACCAAAGCCTTTTCACACAAAAAATAAATATGTTCACTCAAGTAAATGTCTCTTTGAAAGCTTATCTGTTTGAGCATGAACAACTAGATGTCCCACACTTCTTTGAAACTCACAACAAGCGACTGCAGGCGCGATGGTATCTGCTGAGCTGTTAACAAGACGAAGAAAATCTAAGATTTAAGTCATCAAAAGTCTTAAATGTAATTATGCCCCCAGTGCTGTCTTCAAACAAGGCACAGCACCATAGGAACCATCTGATTTCTTTCTAAAAAAAAATATGAAGAAACAAGGGTACAAAAAGCCTCCCCCCAGCTTGCTTTCAAGCAACAATTATAAAGTTTTTAAAGAGTGGCGTATAAGCACACAGAAGGACATGGGTCTGCACCGCAAGATAACAGGTGTACATTCATTTCCCACTTTTAAGTCAAAGAAATACAACATATTGACAAATGCAGCAACAAACAGAGACGTCGATACAGTTTGTGGGCCTGTTATTGTTGTGTGGTTCGGAGCAGTCCAAGCATACAAACCCTGCCTGCAAGCGTGTAATTTGCTGTGACACTTGTGAGATGGTTTGTGCTCCTGGAGAACTTTGATGTATTTGTAGCATTTCCAAGCCATTTGCCCACTTTGGCTTTAAAAATACAGCTTCCATCAAACAGCAGGTAGAGGGTACATGAAGTACGCTTATCAACAGTCAATGGAATCCACCATTACATATTAGTTCTTAAGTGTACTTAAGGTCTTAAGGACTTACAAGGATTTTTGGGATTTCTAGGCTATTCCAATTACTGCAGCCTTTAAAGCATGGGTGCTAAAAAAAAACTTATAAAACATTTACATATGACAACTTATGAAGAAACGTTAGTATTTTAATTTGCTATGGTGCTCATTTGTTTTGGGTTCCAACAAATATTTAACATGCAGAAAGCTCTGGAAGATTACGGTCCATATGCGGCACAGCAGGCTTTCATAAGCGAATTATGTTAAATATTTTACACAGACACAGATATTTTTCTCCAAAATTATGAGGTGTGAACTATAACACAGTGCCGACTGGTATTCAGTCAGTGGCTCGGTTCAGGGTTCTGCCTGGCAAGTGGATGGACGTTGAAGGAACATGGATGCATCTATGCAGTGTATTCTAGTTGTGCATGTGTTCTTTTCTTCTAAGTGGTTCACACTTATAATCAAGGTACGCAGGAGAACATTACTGAGCATACAATGAATAGAACCCTGAAGCAGATGGGCTATAGCAGCAGAAGATTACACCAGGTGTCACTCCTGTCATCTAAGATCAGGAAACTTACAGTATATAAACAGTATATCTTATACTATAGTATAAGAAATACTGTATAAGTCTCAGTAGATATCCTACACAATACATTTAGGCTGTAAACATTTACAATTAGTTTTTTTTCCTGTTACTTTTCTGTGTGGGTACACGTGGCTCTAAAATAAAAGACCTTCTGCTTCCTGGAAAGTATCAAAAGCCACCACCCAACTGTAAAATCCTAAAGCCAGTGTGTGCATAGTTTTCTGCCAAGCAGTAGGCATTGTGGCTGCAAGTAAATTAACTTAATAATGTCAGTCCATAGAGTTTGCTAATATTGGCCACTACACACTGCAGTGAATACATGCTGGCAGAAGATTAAGTCCTGAGGGGTAGAAACATAAAGACAAGTGTTATACGTGCTATTCCTTATATTTTACAGACATTGACTTATTTAAGAGATTTAATTAAAAAGTGTGAGTGATTCCCACAAGATTAGAAAAACAAGTGAATGTTAATTTAAGAATAGCTCTTTGATCAGGATATTCAGAAACAGGCATCTCACATATACCATAATTTGATGGTGAACACTAATGTGGGAAGCCTCACATTCTGTTCCACTCTGTTCACAGCCAACAAGGCTTCTTAAAGTAAAGATTTCTTACTAAATCTGTCCCGAGGTGGTCTCAGAGAAACAGCACACCAGAAGCCTGCAGGTAGAACAGGGGGTAGGCTTAAAATGGCTACATTTAACCCTCCTGAGACAGCTGTAATTGCAGCTTGCTACCTGCCTGGCATTCATCTAGACGGTGAATATTGCGATAGCACCTACAAAGTGTCACGATCATCCATTTAAGAGCAAACTGCTGTTGTGCAATGATGTTCCCTGTGCAGCACATACGTCTGCTGTCTGCTCTGCCTGTTGTTTTGGATGAAACGAAAACGGATTTCACTTTCAGCCGAGGAACAAAACTCGCACTAGTGTGGGAATTATGGATGATGTACAACAAATTAGGGTAGCTCTGCGCTTCATTTGATTAACGCAGAAACAAACACAACACTTGCTTCTTTTTCTTCTATATAATCCTTCACTTCAAATAAAGAAGTTGTATGCGCAAATAACATTAAGAAGAGAGGAGTTTTCATATCAAATGCATACCACCAGATATGAGCAACTGCCTATTTTTTAAAGTGGAAAGCTATATCATAGACGCTGCAAATAAAGCTGTTTACTTTGAAGTGAGGCTCAGCTCGCATACAGCAGCATCTTATTGATACATGGCTGTTCTCCTTTGCAGCCTGTGGATGACTCATTCTTCCAGCTGAACGCCAGTATACACAGCTGATGGCAATGTTTGCATCTCGGAGCACATCAAACAAAGAAAATCAGACGCTTCAGCGTTACGCTAAATGCCTCACTTGAGCATCCAAATGCATTTTACTTTTAAAATCTTTGCATGCAGAAATATAGCAAGAGATTCACTTTTCACCCCGATTCTTGAAAAAAATGCTGATTTAAATTAGACAAAACAACTAAACTACCAGCATGGAGAAGCATGAATAGGTGAACAAGAGGTAAAACTGTAAATCCATTTAGCCAAATGTACACTAAATAAAAAAGCACTTCAGAAAAGGGAAGTGGTGATTTATTGCTGTCATAATTTTTGCAATTTTTAGTCTTTCATTTGGTTTAGATTTAGTAGGTTTAGCCTTTAACAACATTGTTTACCAAAAAAAAGCCATCTATAAAACACAGTTTAGGCTGTCATGGTTTGGGGTTGCAGCCAGTGGTGTAGAGGATGTTGTCAAAATTGATGTAAATATGAGCGCAGAAAAGTATCATAAGATTTTGATTTACTATGTGATACACCTGGAAAGTATCTCATTGGCAACAGCTTCATTTTTTAGCTTAAAAATGATCCCAAACACAATGTCAGTGTAGTAAAAGCATATCTGGATAGAAAAACACACATATCGCATGGAAAGGTCTTACCAGAACCCAGACAACATTCAAAGAAGAGCTTTAAATGTCCTTGAAGATACCTGGAGAACTATTTCTGAAGACTACTTAACGAAATGACAAGAAAGCTGCCTAAATAAGTTTAGACTGTGCTGAAAAATAGACGATCATACCAAATATGGACATTAAGATTGGCAGAATTATACAAACTGCTTTTGTCTTATATGCTGAATTTCCATATACATTTATGTTTTAACAGAATTTTTTTTAAAAAAAAATTAAAGGTGGCTCAAGACTTTTGCACAGTGCTATATATACACAATTTCAAATACAGGATCCTTTCATCCTTACTTCACTTAACCTTTCGTTTTCATGTGAGTGTGGGACACTTCCACGTGATTATAGTGTCTTAGAAAGAACTTGTAAAAGAAAAAAAAAGGATGGATTGTAACTGCTCTTTATTACAGCCCAAATACAAATGTCCTGATTTATGGACGTAACTTGTCTTTTCATGAATAATAAGACATTATTGAATCAGCAAATAAAGTGGACAGCAAGATGACCTGACATGTGACTGAAATCAAAACATCGATTAAGGTACAAGACTGCTTAATCAACTGCAGGCTGGTTAACAGATTACTAATCCAGTTTCATCCTTTAAAACACAAAACTGCTGAGTGAAAACATGACTCGGACTCAACTTTTACTTATGACAAAATGATAAAAACATCCAAATTTGAAAAATATGCTGATACATTTGGATGGAAAAAAAGAGACGAGACTGCCAGTTTGGCACTGATCAACACTCCACTCCGTGCTGACACTGGAGCCAATCTAAATAACTTAAAATGTTTAGTGACAAATAAACCCCCGAAAGGCGATGCGCAACAGTCCCACCTTAAACTAACAGAGGCACAGCTAAGGTCAGACTAAAACTCAGGACTTAAAAGTGAACTTCAGTAAAAGCCAACATATTCCTTGAGTTCGGATAACTCCCAGATAACACAACAGTTGAAGGTTTTCGTGGTTTCCTAACATGTAAACCCAGAAAATGTCATTTAAACCGAGCTGTGATTGTGCAGCGTTTGTGGGTCTTTATTAAACAGCAGCAGGTCCAGCAAACACACTCCACCAGTGCTCTCCCCCTCGTCCATCAGTCTTTATACTCCGTGTACTTCTTGGCTGACCCCTGCACTTTGCTGGCGGGGTATTTCAGACGGTTTAGAGCCATTTTACGGAGCACCGCTTGTGGGAGATCCACGCGACACTTCTCGGCCAGCTCCACGAGGTAGATCAACACGTCGCTGAGCTCGTGCGCCAGCTGCTCCCGCTCGGTCTCGGTCCAGTCCGGCAGGCCCTCGGCTACCTCTCCCTTCCACTGGAAGAGCTCTGCCACCTCGCCCACCTCCCCGACCATGGCCAGCAGAAGGTTGCGGGGCTGGTGAAACTGGTTCCAGTCTCGCTCGTCCGTAAAATCGGCCTGCATGCGCCTAATATCCTCGATGGAGGGCTCGGAGCTGAAGGTGAACCTCTGCGGCCGCTTCAACTGCGGCGACGCCTCTGCACAATCTCCGTTTACCGCAGCTGTGTGCGCCTCTTCATTGACCCCACACGCGTCTTTTCCGTTTGTTGCCATCATTTTCTGTGTGTTTAAACAAACTCCGAGGCTTGTAAACAACCCGCCTCTCTCCTATCCAGTGAAGAAGTCCCGCCAGTTCTCAAACCGGAAATGATGCCTCTTTACTCGGAAGCTGGAAAATACACAATGCTGGGGTTTGTAGTTTTAAACCTCAGCTAGCGGCGTAGGCCTATATACTAACTGCTACTTAAAAAAAACTACAATTCCCGTGTTTGTCAGAGCAGCGACACCAACATGGCTGCCTCCTGTGTTGCAGCAAGTGAGCTGCTCAATAATATAAAACAAATATCAGCCTTGCGTCCAAAGGCTTCGTACGCAGTTAGGGCCGTGAGCACCACAAGCCCACAGTGCCACGCTCAACTCCCGCAGAGGGCACGAAGGTAAGAAAGGGTGCTGAGTTATTGTGTGTGCGTGTGTTTATCGTCTCTGACCTGCAGGTTAACCTGCATGTTGCCTTGGTGTTGAGCTATAATAATACCTCTTTAGGGTCTTCTTATTAACAGCAGCCGGGTGAGAAAAGTCATTAACGGCAGCCTCCACTTGTCAGCCTGGTAAAAAACACTGCAGACAAAAGAACATTACTGCGTATGCGACATGATTCGCGATTTCATCAACAAAATACGCCCTGAACATTATGCATTCATGTGGTCGAACAGCTTAATATACGTTTATTAGTCTTTTAAACGGCATTTGGAGTATAAGCTTTATCTTGTGGCTCGGTTAAAAACAGTTAGCAGAGGATGGTTTCGATCCATCGACCTCTGGGTTATGGGCCCAGCACGCTTCCGCTGCGCCACTCTGCTGTGGAGTTATGAAGGTGATACAAATCTAGTGGCTGAGCTAACGGTGCAAAGATTTTCTTAGGGCTTGACCTAAGATAGATGAGGAATAATAATGGATGAAAATCAGTAGAAGCAAGATAGAACGTGTGCATGGAAGAGAGGTACAGCAGGTGCAACAGTAAAGCTGCAGGAAGCAGAGGTAAAGAAGTTGGGGTCAACCAAAGCAAAGGACAACGCTCAAAAGAGGTGAAGAAAAAAGTGCAGGCAGGGTGGAGCAGCGGAGATTAGTGTCAAGAAGGGATTTATGACACAAGGATAGCAGCAAGATGGTAGTGGGATGTATGGTTTGAAGATGGTGTCATTGACAAAAAGACAGGAAGCTGAGCTGGAGGTGTTTAGATTTCCTTTGTGAGTAACCAGAACGGACTGTATTAGAAATAAGTTCATCAGAGTGACAGTTCAAGTTTTACCATTTTGGAGACAACGTTTCAGAGTCAAGGCCAAGGTGGTTTAGATGTGTACAGAGTGGCCAAGATAGTGGATACAATGGACAAAGGATGTTAAAGATGGAGCTGCCAGGCACGGCAACAGAGAAGATTCATGGAGGTAGAGGAGGACATGCTGAGGGTTGTTGTGAATTTGTTAAAAAGTTTGTTAAAAAACTACCATCATAGTTTCAGTTTAGGTATGGTTATGTACCAGATTTTTACTACTTCCTGGATACTCAACCGGTTGCCTTGGAGCAAAAAAAAAAAAAAGTCATGTTACTTTTATTCTACTTAAGTAGTTCAGTTTCATGTGGCTTTATGCTTCTAGCCCAATTTAAAATTAGTTATTTTTCTTTTTACTCTGTTTCATGTGAAATCTATAGAGCAGCTAAGGAAAAAACACACATTGTGTGTCCATATTAGATAAAGGATGTTGAATATGGAGGGAGACTACAGAGAAAATTCATGGGTGTAATGAAGGAGGACATTTAGAGACCTGGTGATACCAGGGGGTGCCTTTTGCTAAGGCGATGTTGTCTTTATCAGTTTTATTTAGCTTTTCAAAGGGTTAAGGCAACAGTACAGACAGCAGTCTCTGTGCTTTTGTCCATAGAGTCACTCGAAGATACAAGCTATCCATCTGCCATGGTCACAGGATGCCGTTAGAACACTGTAATAACAGATGACGTCAACGTGTGGTGCAATGTGAAAGATTACACGGAGACAGAATAAGACAATATGGAGCCTTTCATTCAGGATGCTCACCAAGCCTCTTACATCTGTGGCAGAAATCATGTTACTGTCGTGCAGTGTATCATACATCAAATGCAGTCTGTGTCTGAATAACAGGATGCCACGAGTTAAACAGATTAATGCAGACAGACATTTTAAGCTTTTCATCTCTGAAGAGTGCTTTAGGATTGCGTGCATGTTTCAGCTGAGAGAAACTACACAATATCAGTCCACTATGTACCAGTCATACTCCTTTAGGATATTAAATCAAGGCTACAACATAATGCAATTTAAATAACTACTGTATTATTATAGGGTCTTTACTTTAGTATAAGCACCTTAAGGCAATTGTGGTTGTGGTTTGGCACTACTACAAGTGGCACCTGAGTAGAACATCTGTTGCAGACACTAAGCTTTCCTACTAGTTTTTCTCAGTGGTCACAGATATAACTGTGGCTGCAATTCTTTTTGCTTGTATCTAGATACAAGCAAAAAGCGGCTTTTTTTTTTAACTTCTCATCCGTAAATAATCTGCTCTTTCACGTGATTCAGTTTATTTTGAAAAGTCTCAACAGGATCTTGAGCTTTATTGTGAAAGGTTTATGTGGAACATAAACAACCGTCGTTGTTGCTAACCACAACGCATAAAAACAGGCGCTTGTCCGTCCGTAGTGTGGTTATATTAAATATAAGAGAAAGAGAGAACTTTAAGAAATTAATATAGCCACTACAGTGACCATCAGAACGATGAAAAAATATTGCCGTAAACAGTTTATTTTGCCACACCACCAAACAAACGATAGCGTAAAATGAAACGATAGATGTTTTTATATCATCATCCGATATATATCGTTATATCGAACAGCTCTAAAGAAGATTATTATTTACTCTCTCTGTTAGGATTATATTTCATTTAGATGATTGTTAAAAAAAAAATCCTCAGTGCCTGAAAGTGAGCTTAACTTTCATATTGTCAGGACACCACGACACTACCAAGAAACTGTAAGTGGGACCAGAAGTGGAAACACTAACTTTTCAAAAGCAAAGCCAGAAACTGAACAGCTGTTTTGACTCGTGCTGTGCCGTTCATTCATCTTTGAGTCTGTTATGGCGTTTTTCAAGTTTTTATTAATGAACTGAGAAAGTGTAGTTTCATAAAGTTGTGTCATTTGCAGCCTACCTGCATTTGCTCCTGTCGGCCACATAGTAGGTCAGAATAAAGTTTTTAGGGCTTAAGTTAAGTTATAGTCTCCAAGCCCAGCCTCTGGGCTGTAAACAAAACAAAACACAGGTTTCTGCATACATTATTGAATGCAGAATTTATTAAAGCAGAATATGAACTGACAGAATAAGGCCTTTCAAGGTGAAAGGTCCCAGTGTCTGAACGTAGTTTCAGAGCCATATGGGAAGATGTCCTTGCAAACTCTTTGGAAAAGGACAAAAACATCTTCTTTTTCTTCTTCTTCTACTTCTTTTGTGCTTTTGCTTCCTTTGTGAGAAAACAGTGTACATCAAAAGCGCTGCCAATTATAAAGTGTAATTGTAGGCATCTAAACACACTTCAAACCCATAACCCGCACGAAATTTGCTCATTTCCTTAACACCTCAAAGCCAGATTGTATTTTCCTTTGCCATAGTACACAAATACAGCCCACCTGTGTAGTTGAATTTTCTTTCATGTTTTTTGTTTCTGTACCGCGTGTCTCAGTGCTCCCCAGCAGCTGGTCGGCGTGGTGGGTTTGGAAATTCATGCTCAGATTAACTCCAGTACCAAGCTGTTCTCTGGCGCTCCGGTTCGCTTCTCGGCTCCTCCGAATTCCCTGGTGTCATTCTTCGATGCATCCTTACCCGGCACATTACCTGTAAGTTATGCTTCATGTGATTAGAATAAACGTAACCTGTCATTCTTAGATCATCTGTCCCCATAATGTCCCCGTGTGTCCCCAGGTCCTGAACAAGCGCTGCGTCGAAGCAGCGGTGATGACAGGACTGGCTCTTAACTGCGCCGTAAATAGGAAGTCGCTTTTTGACAGGAAACACTACTTTTACGCTGACCTCCCTGTAAGTTCTCATTTTCCTGTCCTCGGTTGTCACTTTCTGTGCAGCATCTATGGATCGGTGGGAAGGAGAGTGATAGCACAGGAGACAGGGGTTATCTAAGAGACAGGACTCATTATCATCCTCCACGCTGCTTCCTTGCTTTGACTTTTATGCAAGCTGTGCTCGTCTGCTTCCCGCCTTTCCATCACAACTGTTCCGGTGAACTCTCCCAGCCGTGAGCTCTAATTTAAATGGTGAGCAAGTCTTGCAGAAGAAGCAAAAAGCAAAAAGGCAGTGTTTTCCTCACATACACAGAAAAATAACACTGAACATGACCAGTGCTTTTAACTTGCCAGCTCATTTCCTTCAGTTCACTTCAATTTTTTTATTATCCACAGGTCATTGCCTCCTCCATGCTGTTAAGTTTGTGCTTTCTCTCTTTTATTTACTTAATTTCAGTCATTATCAGAATTGGAAAAACCAAACATAAAGTAACTGGATGGAACTGCACAGATTCACAACTTATCATATTAACTGTGAGCTAATATTATAAATTGTAAATTAAATAGTGAAAGTAAAATAGTTGGGTGAGCAGAGGCTGAATGATCTCCAGTCATTAACCAATAATGGGCTCTATTTGGATATTGGCTGCCGGCCATTTTCTTAAAGTGGATGTTTGTGTTTTGTAATGTTGGCTATCGCACTCTTAATTGAAACTATCCATATGGTTACTGTTGAATGCCCCCTTTTAAAGCAGCAGAACGGATCCAGCCAAACCAAAACTTGTAGCAGTGTAAAGTTCGAGTGTGTGCTAAACTCATAGAGTGTATGTAAAGAAAAAAAATGGACAAAGCCATTGTGATGTCAGCCATAGGTTTCTGAAGCTCTGCTTGGAGATTTTGTTAGCATCATATCATGTTGCTGGTTTGAAGCCCATATTCGAAGGAGAGAGTAGCGTGCTAAGCATCTCACAAACAGAACCACAGATACCTGCTAAGCATAATACAAAAGTTACTAGATTTTGACCCACCAAAACTGGTGG